TGCTTGGGTTCATAATGGTACTTGAGGCAAAAGTAAACTGGTCCAGGTGATACTAGTTGAAAAATCATCAGGTCATGGGCAAGCCTCTGATGCGATGTATAGTTTCCCAAGGTGATTATCAATTAAATTATATCTGTTGAGGGGCGCCTGGGTGGGTCAGTCGGTTAAGCGTCCGACTTCGGCTCAGGTCATGATCTCACGGTTCGTGAGTTCAAGCCCCGCGTCAGTCTCTGTGCTGACAGCTCAGAACCTGGAGCCTGTTTCAGATTCTGTGTCTCCCTCTCTCTCTCTGACCCTCCCCCGTTCATGCTCTGTCTCTCTCTGTCTCAAAAATAAATAAACGTTAAAAAAAATTAAAAAAAAATTATATCTGTTGATTGCTGAATGAATTGATCATAACAAATAGCAGCAGTAAATGCAGTTATGCTTTACAAAGATTTTTTTTTTAACACTCACAATTCTAGGACCCATACATTCGAAGCATTTGTTAATCATTTATAGATGGTGCTTTGTTGGTTTTTCAAATTGCTTTGTAAAAATTCCAGAGCCTCGCAATATGTGAATCATGGTTCAGCATAAGCTTTCAGTGCATGTCCTTACTCTGAGATGATGTGGTTTGCTTACTAGATGACACATGTCTGAAAATGAGGTCAATTAAATGAGATATGCTGGCCAACACTCAAATGATGCTCTCAAATATCCCTAAAGTTTTTCAATAGCTCCACAAACATTTGATTTTAATTTGAGTTTTAAATATTATAACTATTTTAAACTATAATAAGCATGTGCATTGCAATGTGTCTTATGCCACATTTTAATGCATTCAAGACCATCATAGTATTAACTTTTGTTGCCAGATTAACTTATGCAGAGCATGAAGCACCAAATAAAGCTTCCCTTTAATCCATCATTAAACACCAACTAGAGTCCATCCACCTAGGGGTGTATCTGAACCATTTGCAAAGGTCTGATTGACTATAGAGGAGGTTACTTGATCACCTGGGGGATCCCTCTGCCAGTTCAAGGTAGCCCATGGCCAGTCATGCATGATTTTAGAAGCAAGTGTTTCCTTACTTACTAGGACTTTTTGATATTATACAAATAAAACACAAGACAGAAATAATTGGTGCTGAGAGATTTAAGACCATAATTCTCATCATAACCCCTGCTTTCAAATTTCTATGCTTATTAAAATAGACGTCAACATGTTAATTTATAAGATAATTTCATATTAACAAAATATATATAGCTTTCATTTCATTTGCATTTTATATGCTGAAGTTCTGTAGATTTCACTTTATTAAAGATATCCTCAGAGGAAAAATGTTTGAAAACCACCATTGTGGCAGGGTCACTCAACCTTGGCACTACTGACATCTGGGGACAGATAATTCTCTATTGGTGACCAGTATCCTGGGCATTGTAGGATGTTTAACAGCATCGCTGGCCTCCACCCACTAGATGCTGGTATCAAGCCTCTACCCCCAGACTGATGATCAACAACATCTCCAGATATTGCCAAATGTCTCCTGTATGGAAGAGTTATCTCTGGTTGAGAATTACTGGATAAGTCATAGGATCAGAGGGCTGGCCACACTAGTAATTTCTAAGGAATGTTCACATCTTCCTGAACTTTTAATTCATAAGCAGCTATTAAACAAGAATACAGTAATGTAGGGGCACCTGGGTGGCTCAGTCCGTTAAGCGTCTGACTTCGGCTCAGGTCATGATCTCACGGTCCGTGAGTTCGAGCCCCGCGTTGGGCCCTATGCTGACAGCTCAGAGCCTGGAGCCTGTTTCAGATTCTGTGTCTCCCTCTCTCTCCACCCCTCCCCTGTTCATGCTCTGTGTCTCTCTGTCTCAAAAATAAATAAATGCTAAAAAAAATTTTTTTAAGTGAAAAAAAAGAATACAGTAATGTAGATACGTGATTTTTAAAGCATTTTAAAATATTCATTGTGCTGCCTTATTAGGGGCGTTTGAGACACTACACAGGCCATAAAAAAATGTTGTGGAATTATCTTTTCAGGCAACAAAAGATCTTCATGATCTATTACTAAGTGAAAAAATTAATTCATATGCCAATGGGAGTGGGAAGCAATAAGGAATGTAGTAAAATCCTTTTATATGCTAAATTCTGGAATACAACTAGTCTTCATATTTTTTTGTAAAATACTTTGAAGAAATTTTTTTTAATTGAATTTTAAAATTCTTTTTGCCCCTGCCTAATGCTCAAATAAATCTGATTAAATTGACCAACATCCTGTCTAAGGAAGGTTTCAAAGGGAATATGCAAATGTTCACCTCAGTAAACTGTAATTTTTCATGAGGAAAACCAAAGAGAAATTGGAAATAGCCAGTATTTTTCCTAATAATGTTTTTAAGAAGAAGGTTCTGTTGGGCTAACACAAATGACCAAAACAATAACTCATCTTAGAAGCCACAAAACACATAGGTTTGAGAAATACCTTGTCAAATTTAAACACACTGTTGATGGGAGTATAAGTTGGCACAACCTCTATAAAGAGCAATGTGGCAAAATTTCAAATATACATACCATTCTTTCTAATAATTCTCTTTCTAGAAATGACCAACATACAGTTAGCCATAGTAGCGTGTACCAGTATATTCAGAGCATCTTCATTTATAAAAGTAAAAAAAAAAAAGAAAACAATGTAAATGTCCACCGAAGTGTGATTGGAAAAATAAATTATGATATTTCCATATAACTGGACCTATTGTAGTAAATTTTTTAAGACAGCTTATTTACCACATGGGACCAAATCCAAGATGCACCGTTAATGAAAACAAGCAAGATTCAAAACAGGAGACGTGGTAGGATGCTAAGAATTTTCCCTCTTAGAAGACATACCTGACTTCTTCGGCATTCAGAGTATTTATGGAAAATGTCCAGTGTTGTACCTCCTATGGATTAAGCTAGAAAGGGAATATTACTAAATTTGAATCTTTCAAATTCATTAAAATATGATTATACATTACTTTGTACAGAAGAATTATGTAATTTTTTTAAAGAAAAGTACTTTGTCAATTACAAAGTGATACCAAATGTTTGAAGGCATGGACTAGCCAAAGGAATTTAAGGTACTCTCACACTCCACATTCTAGGAAATTTTAGAGGCAAGAGAAAAAGGAGGGATAATGGAAATCCCAGTAGGATATCTAGAGTCAAGGTCCTGGGATTTGCATAAACAAATAAAGTCAATGGAGAGCGGAAACTGGTAAATACTGTCTGAACACCAATCCTAGGATAGTGTTTCTTTACTGGTTATATGCTACCTGCTGAGTATAGGTAGAAGAGGATCTCAGATGAATCCAACAAATCTTTCTAATAGTGAGGAATGTGAGGACCCAACTGTCATAGAAGGCGGGTTTTATTGTTCTTGTCATTTTTTTTCAATATATGAAATTTATTGTCAAATTGGTTTCCATACAACACCCAGTGCTCATCCCAAAAGGTGCCCTCCTCAATACCCATCACCCACCCTCCCCTCCCTCCCACCCCCTAACAACCCTCAGTTTGTTCTCAGTTTTTAAGTCT